AAATTTTAATTTTAAAAATATAGGCATAGATTAAAAAAGTAAAAAGAAATAGGCACCGATCAGTAGTAATTAATTCTGTGTAATACAATGTATATGAATGAGTGTATAAAACATAATATAAATGAAGGATTGTATAAAGCAAAATGTACATGAATGAAATACAATGTGAATGAATTATTGTATGCAAATAAATCAAAAAAGAAAAAATTTAAAAATAGAGGTTCTTCTATAGCAATTCCATCATGAGTTAGTTTTTTACATTAATAAATAATTTTCAGTACTAAAAAGTTGCCTTTTTAACCACATAGTTATAAATACATCCTACTTTATATGTTTCTAGCACTTTATAATTTTATTGCTTATATTTCCCTCTTTTGTGTATTTGAAACTTAATTTTATGTATGGTGTAACCTAGATTTACAAAAGAGATCACTTAACTAAAATAACTGCTGGGATACTAGAATGAATAATTGATTCTGATATATATTTCTTTTTTAGTTCCTTTATGGAGTGGGGTGAACGTTGCTGGTGTTCCTCTGAAAAGCCTGAACCCTAACTTAGGAAGTGATTCAGACAAAGAACAGTGGAAGAATGTCCATAGACAAGTTGTTGAAAGGTAACAATACTTAATTACTTTTTAAAAAGTTTTAAAAATTCTTAATAATTTCCTAGTAAGTCCTAAGAATAGATTTTACAAATAAAATTTATGTGATTAATCTTTGTCTGTGGCTGGCCTGGAGGCTTCTGTGCAGTGGTTCCACTCTAGAAGTTGGTTTCTTGATGGGGGTCACCTAAGGAAAGTTTTGGTTTGTGTTGTTTTATGTTTGGATTGTGTTATTGGTTTCCCCCCCCCTCCACAAGTGAGTGTCAGCCAGCTGGACTTTTGCCAGTTTTTAGCAAGCAAGGACCAAGGAGGGTCTACTGGGTTTATCATAGTCAATAGCATTTGCTAGGCGTGTCTTAAAAGTTTCATAGGGAGACCAAATTGATTAATGTTTCCATGAACATTCTTTTAAGTGGTACAGCATCCATTTGTCTTATTTGTTGTATGGAATAGTTTGGAGTTACTGTGATGCTGAACACTGTGCCAGAGTGTCAAATACCATAATGACTGCCCATCATGGACAGTGTTTGGAGGAGCTTCCAGATTGA